ATTAGAGTTGAAATTAGCCAGTTTGTCTTTTTTACTTTTGAAATAGGCTGGGTGGTTTTGTAAAGGCAGTATACTACAGCAAAACTTAGTGCTTTTTTCACCGCCTAATTTCTTAGGCGTTGTGTTTATATCTCACTGATGTTATCCTCGAGGAACTGAAGTTTTAGAAATAATGCCCTTTTCAAAACTGTTGGTATCGATGGCTGCTTTGACTTTTGATTCATATTCTTATCAATAAACTTTTCTGTATGACCGTCTCCACTCAGCAACCGTTTAATATTATTAAGTTCCTCATTAAGACATTAACCAGAGCAGAAATCTCTTGCTCTGTGAACCAAGCATTTTATCAGATTACTCATGTATTTCAAGGGCACGAAGTTGAAAAGATGAGTACACTGGCGCGTTGATGTAGGTTTTCTATATACACTTCTTCTTATTGTCCCATCCTTTTTTCTGATCATAAGGACGTCTAGAAATGAAATACTATAGACTTTTTTTCTCAGTTGTAAAATTTATTGCAGGATGAACCTCGTAGAATTTATCCAGGATTTTTTTGCTTCATCCTCATTTTCATAATCAAAATATGTATCAACCGTGTACTGACTGTAGAGTTCACGGTCATCAATTACATCTTTCAAAGACCCATTTTCTACTTTCGCAAGGAAAATGTCGGCTACAATTGGTCCTAATGGTGACCCCATTGCCACATCATCGATTTATCTGTATAATTCCTTATTAAATAAAAAGTGAACATTCATTGTGTATTTCAAGAGAGGCTCTTTTAGATATAGGAATGCCAACTGTGATGTTTTGTCTATGAGTTCTTCGCTTATAAAGCCTACTGTTTCCACAGGTTGATACATTTATGAATAAGTTTTGAGATGAAATGGTTTACTGTTAATAAGCGTTAATTTTAAAGTGTTTGTTTGCAAGGATCATTTTTGAATTCAAATTAGACCGCAAACTGACTTCAGTCAAAAAGACCCTTAAACCCCATGGAGTAATAAACAGTTTGACATTCTTCAGTAGTATACACGCATGAACTACACAGGGTATAGATCTTTCAGGTTGCGAGTCAAACCCGTTAACCATTTTGGCCACAAGGATGCAATTCAATGGCTCAATAAATTCTGACTTTCTCTTATTTCCCGCTGCATAGCGTCACTACCAGCCGATATCATCAGTGTGTGTTTCTCCTCCCATCCGGGAGGTTATAGCTTCTTCGTAATGGTGAAAATCTGTTCAGTACTACCTTCCTACTTACCCACCTGCCTATCTATCTACCTACCTACCTACCTGCTTACCTAGCTACCTATCTATCTACCTACCTTTCCTGTCTACCTACCTGCCTACCTAGCTACCAATCTATCTATCTGCCTACCTACCTATCAGTACTTATCTAAGTGAAATCACTTCTTGATGTAAGTTGAAAAGAAAAAAACCCACTTGAAATATCATCAATTGAAAATCGAAAAAGACGAATCATTCATATTGGCTAGATTATTTTACTTTAATTCCACGTGACCTTGACCTAGAAATTTGTTTCGGTCATATGATTTGTAGATAAATTAAGAATACAATTTCGGGATCAAGAAGTATCTTCCTTCTCTTCAATAATTTATAGCTGAAAATATTTTCTATCTACTGCTAAATGAATTTTTTTTCCTTGATTCATTCTCATATACAATATTTAAAACTTCCTTTTTTACTTCATTAAAAACATGAGAAAAGTACAAAAACAGATGATCATATTTTAGATTTGTATAAATTCATTGGTTTCAGGCTAAGTTTTGTCACAAAAATTTTATTAGTTAAAGCAATATAAAAAGGCCAAGGAACACTAGTTTTCTGTTTTGCGTTTTCAGTGGAACACATAGAGCTTAAAGCTAACTGAAGCTTTCAGCCTCTCTGCTAATCATCCATTTCTACAGGGATTGCTATCGGTTGAGCAAGGTAAAGAAGTTCACTGATTGAAGAGGATTGAACCTTAGACATCAGTATGTGGTTGTCATTGTTCTACCACTAAATCATCAACACGTATTTTGCCTTAGTTTACAAGGTTTTCTGACTTTGTAAGTGAACTTAAGCAAAACACAAATACGGTAGTTCTGTTAGTGCTTTTTAGTTTTCAACGATTTTCAAGCTGATGTTAGTCCAAGACGAAATCTACCTCAAAACCAAAAGGCCAGAAAAGATGAGCAGCAGCAAGGGATCTCTGACAATGAGCGAACTAACCGAGCAGGAACCAATTGTGCAACAAATATGCAAGAATATTTGGAGGTGGGTTGGCCATACTCTGATAAAAAAACCATAAATTGAGTGACATCATACGCCAGGGCATCGCCGATTGAAACCTGAATGGGGAGCGGCGAATTAGTCGTGAGTGAGGGGCTGACACAGAAGAAGTCAAGCGAAGATAAGATGAAAGCGTGTGGTCGGACGTGGAGTCAAGTGAAGAAGTTGATAAAGAATTGAACATAATGGAGAGGTGCGCGGCTGAAGCCTTATGTTCCTCTAGAAACTAAAGGAAACTAATAAAATGACTGTGATGAAATCCTGAGGAGAATTTTAAAATTAATAACCGATAATATTTATTCAGTGTGAATTATCATCATACAGTTTTATTATTAAATAACAAAATGTCAACCAATAAAGTACAATAATATTTTGATAAAGCTATTAGCATTAAATAGCGAAACGTCAGTAAAAACAATGTCTTTTTGTTTTTCATTTATTGAGAAATACAAAAACCTTTATTATAATGTATAATAAACTAATTCTAAAAGTTTTTGTTCATATTTGCAATATTATCCTCTGTGGCTTGCCTAAGACTTGAACTACCAAAAATCCTGAACCACTGTACCGCATATAATTTCACCTGTTCTTTTTTTATTAATCGATTGCAATATGACCTATCATGGTATGATTCAATCTCGTGAGTATTTAAAGTATTTATAACTGGGTGATTTGCAGGTTTCTGTAAAAACTGAGAAAAAACGCATAGATGAGATAACTGCTCCTGAGTTATATTCTCGAGTCTGAAAATATGCTCTTGAACCTTTTATAATTGGCTTCTAACCAAATGTCGTGGATTTGTCAATGGAGACAAAGAAGCGTTATCATGATGGATCGGTTTGCACTCTAGATATTATTATTATATTTTCCTTTAATTTCTAGAGAAATATAGGGCTTCAGCTGCACGTCTCCATTGCGTTCGGTTCTCTGCTAACGTTTTCACCTCACTCCACGTCTTCCCACATGCTTTCATCTCCTCTTCCTCAAGTCATCCTTGAACGACCAACTCGCCGCTTCCTATTCGGTTTCCACTTGAGGGCTTGTCTAGTGAAGTCACTTGATGGTTTCCTCAAAGTATGGCCAGCCAGTGCACCTCCATTTCTTCCTACTTTTTTGTTTCACGGTCGATTCCTGGTTGGTTCGCTCCCAGAGATCCTTGTTGTTGATCTTTTCTGGCTGGCCATTTGATCTTGAGTAGTATTGAGCGAAGACAGCTGTTATTGTAGGTCTGAAGTTTGTTTGAGGTGTTCTATATGATGCGTCAATGAGCACTGACTTCACGTTGGATTTGAAAGTCTCGATCTTATTTTTGATGCTGAGTGCTGTTGACCTCCACACAGATTTGAGAGTGATGAAAGCTTGTCTTGCTTCAACGATCCTCGTTTTGATATCCTCATCACATCTGTCCACCTGTAATCGAAACAATGCTTCCTAGGTAGGTAAAGGAGGTTGTTTCTTTCAGGTTCCTCCCATTTATTCTGGCTGATTGTTGTCTGTTGTTGTTGCTTTTGTTGTTTCTGTTGGCCAGGAATCTTCATCACCCCTGTTTTATCTGTGTTCGCGTGAAGCCCAGTATTATTTTTGATGCTTTTTCCGCCAACTTTTTGCTTTTCACTGGCATATCTTCCAGTTTGTGGGAAATCAGACATATATGTATGTTATCGGCGAAGTTCAGATCCTCCAAGGTTTTCGTGAGGGTCCATTTTATGCCTGTTTCCTCGCTGCTCGTTGTCTGTCGCATTGTCCAATATACGGCAATCAGGAAAATCATTGGGATAGTAGACAACCGGCCTTGTCTTACTCCCGTCTTCACTTCTTCGAAGGATTCGGTATGTTCACCGTTGTAGATTACCTGGCATTCAGCATTGTAGTACAACTGTTGGATGAGATGTATAATTGTCGATGGGACCCCGTAGTAGCGAAGTAGTTGCCAAATCACTTCTTGATCGACGCTGTTGAATGCCTTTGCAAAGTCAATGAAGTTGAAATAGACAGGTGACTGCCATTCCAAGCTTTGTTCAATGATGATCCGTAGTGTGGCGATTTGATCGATGCATGATTTGTTTCTCCTGAATCCAGCCTGTTCCAGTCGAAGTTTTTCATCCAGGGCTTGTTCGATTCTCTCCAGGATGATAAGGCTCAGTATTTTGCTTGGGATGGACATAAGCATAATTCCGTGCCAGTTTTTACATTGACTTAAGTCTCCTTTCTTTGACAGTTTGAATAAGTATCCTTTCTTCCAATCCTCGGGTACCTTGCCCTCTTTCCACACCTCCTCCAGTAGTAGCGTCATCAAGTCTGTTGTTGTCTCTAGGTCCATTTTCAGTGCTTCTGCTGGGATTCCATCTGGTCCTGCTTCTTTTAAAGCTTTTTGCATCTTGATTGTCTTCAGGACTTCCGTTCTCTTAGGAGAGTTGATGTTCACTGGTAGATCTGCTTCCGTTGTTGGTATTGTTACGCGCGCTGTAGGTGGCGGTTACACTCTAGATAAGACAATATGATATCATGCCATAAACGTTGCTAAAGATTCTCTACATTACATATGCACTGTCTACAATAAAGCTATTGTTATTAATATTCTAGGTGTATTGTTTCCTGGGACAGGTGTATCAGCATTATCTCTTTCAAATATCAATCGTTTTTTATAAAAATCAGTCACTCATTTAACAATTAACCTTTTTCTATATATATATTTATCCATACAGTTTATGCAATCCAAATCATAAAGAAAATCTTGGTATGACTGTGCAATATCGTGTAAAAGTTCGACTGGTTCTTGGATTTGTTTCGAGGTGAGAATATGTACATATATATAAATATTTGATTATAGCTTGATTTCACACCGTAAAAGTATGGCATTTTCAGCATGTGATATTGATATTCCAAACTTCATAGGCCGACCAACTGATATGAACTGTAAGTCAGCAGGGGATCGAACTCCGAACCATTTGTATGGTCTGCGAGAGTTCTAACCACTGTGCCACCAACGGATTTATTTTTTCATTTTGATAATACAACCATCTGTGATAGCATTCAATTGACAGAATGTTGTTTGTGACTGTAGCGGGTGACAGTGTTGTAGGTGATTTATTGCAGGATTCAAACCAGCAGCCTATAGATTATGATTTTTGCTAGTTAGAGTCCTGTCGCTATCAACATATTTTTTATTTCACCTACATTCATCAGCGGTTACTTGAATAACAGTCTACCGATACAAACGTTGTATAGCAAAGACAAAAGGTGGTGAAAGTAACCAACCATCGACAACAAAGAGCACCAACCACCATCAACGGATGAAATTTGAAAGCGGTCACATCCTTCACTTCTCTAGGCACCATTGTCTCAACTACAGCCGACTTCATAGATGAGGAAGTAAAAACTGCAGTCATAAAGTAAAGGTAGACCTTCATCAGTTTAACATCTGTTTGAAAACTTTCTGTGCTAAGCATAAACAATGAAATTCGGATTCACAGAGTTGGTGCATTTGGGACAAGCCATCGCAGATTTTTTATATACAGCTGCCCACTTCGCTGGCTGCATACTGATGATCAGATGGCCGGTCATAAACAATTAACAACAAGAAGCTCTGCAGCGGAACAAACCAGTCAAGAATCTGTCACTCAAAAATGTGTGGGAGAAAATAGAGATGAATCGGACGCACGCTCCTCGAATATGAACGATGAGTCTGGCGTCTGAAGGTGACCTGGAGAAGATAACAGCCTATGGGCATCCTGAGGTCAATTGAAGACAACTTCAGAGAGGGGAACAAAATGCAGATGGGTTGTTGAAGCTTTATACTCCCATGGAACCCAAGGGAATAACAGTTAATAATATAATTATCCAAAGATCGAACATTTTATGTCACAACCAACCATAAATTATGATTATCATTAGAAAGTTTGTCAAGAACAACACGATTTTACATGGTTATTAGCCATTTTATCAGGTAAATTATGTATACAGAACTAATGAAGTAGGAAAGGCACCTCACACTTAAAATGTTATTTCCGAAACTTATTCATTTCTGCCTCCTGCTGCTGTTGTCTCCGACTTCGTCCCCACCATTCTACATAAATAACTGAGTGGCTTATTTTATGTTATTTGAAAGGTAAGCGATCGATTACCTATTTATGGCTTTTACAGAAACCATTAAACCGTATCTTATGTGTAGATTCTTGTCATTAGTACAAATTAAAATACTTTTACGCATGTCTCGGCCACTATATTTATTGTTTTCGACACAAAACTCAATTTGTAATGACCTGCGACGAAGATCATTTTGGGTTAATAAAATATCGAGTGAATAAGATTATCGCCTCCAATGTTTACTCTGGTAATGCTCATAGTCAGATTGATTGCTCATTAGGGAGTAATCATTGTTGTGTTCCCATTTCTTAGTGGTGCCGCAAGAATTCTATCACTCAAGTTTGTCATATGATCACCAGTCTATACTACTACTACTACTAATATTGTTGTTCCTTTGGTTTCCAAGTGGAACATACGACTTCAGTAGTACATCTACACTTGGTCCTATTCTCTGCGATTCTCTTCTTTAACTGGAGCTGCGACTGCTCATAGTCTCTTATATCCTGCTCACACAATCTACTTCATGACACCTTCGAATTGACGCCCAACGCGTCGTTTCCCATTCAGGTTCTAATGGAGGTTTCACCTGGGGGGCAATGTCACCTGATGGTCTCCTCAGAGTAAATCCCATCTATCCTCATTTTATTGAACAAAGGGTTGTTGAGTGAATGCTCCCCACAGTTTCTTGTTTCTAATTCCTTTTTTCTGACCATCTGATTTTAAATATGCGTAGCCAGTAAAGCAGGCGGATGTTGGTAAAAGTCTACAGTAGCCAAGTTTTTGACCCAGGTAGAAGAATTGACGTAATTCAAATGAACTGTCGTCAAGATTTGACAGAATAGTTCTAAAATATTTGGGCGCCAAGTGAGGAGTAGATATTTGTAAAAAATTATATTTGTAAAATCTCAACGAGATTGAAATGAAGAATTCCAACGTTTACTGCGTTCATCAATCTGGCCTGAACTTCTTCAGCGAAATTAATCGAAATTAACATAACAGAGGTTTACAAATATAATTTTTTACAAATGTCTGCTTCTCAATCGGCGCCCAAATATTTTAGAACTATTCTGTCAAATCTTGACGACAGTTCATTTGATGAATTATTTTGCAATCGAATTAAATTAACAAAGAAACTATGTAATCGGCACAATCATTGTGTTTTCACTCTCAGTTGTCTGCAACAGAATGCGTATCCTAAATCCGTAGCTGTTGAGTCACCTGACAACTCCAGAAGGTCGAATGAAGCAGCTCAATCTTCAGAAAGAAGACAAAGCAATAAGTTTGACAGGGCGTATTTCAACTAAACTGTAATCCTAAACACCATATTTTGAAAGTACGTCTAATCATAAAATTCTAGATACTAACAGTTTGAACCGACATGAAGGTGTGATGTTAGATGACGCATAGGAAATCCTGATTAATAAATAAGAATGGATATGTATCACTAATTAATAATACTTGGTCAAAGTTCCCGACTGTCTATATATACTTATGGGGAAGTTAAGAAATGTTTTACAACTGTTTACCCACACACACATATACACTCTGTTTAAAGTGTTTAACAAAGGTAGACCAATATTTATAAGTCCGAGGTCAAATTTTGATCATAGCTCATACAATTTTGTTTGTTTATTATACCTGTTAATACTTGTTTTATGACTCATGATTGGACAAAGTTCTTAAAAACAGATGTTCCCTTTTCTATATATAAACCTCTGTTATGTTAATTTCAATTAATTTCCCTGAAGAAGTTCGGACGAGACTGCCGAACGCAGTAAACGTTGGAATTCCTCATTTCAATCTCGCTGAGATTTTACAAATTTACAAATTTTTTACGAACTGACGTAATGTTGATGTTGAAAATAGTCGTCACCAATCTAGGAGAATCTGATTCGCGGTGCACTTTTCGAATTAGTGTTAGATAACTGTAGGCAATAGCAAAGACCTCCTGGACTTAAGTTGTATGCTTTTTCGTAAGGTCTTTAACTACACACCACACACACACACAACAATGAATGATGCAGGTTTCGACCTCCGACAAGGTAACCAGTCTTCATCAAGCTTGTAGATTGCACTGCAAACAATCGACGATAAGCACAGCTTCTTGTTTGGCGATTTTAACGATCCATCTTTAATATAAACAAACATTTGCTGGAATAAGAAACATCAGTTAAAGCTGATCATTGAATTTTGCTCTTTTTTTCGCTACAGTCATTGTATCAATCTCTTTTTTTTATTCTCAAAGATGTTTTTAGATATTTTTGGTGAATTTTCGAAATTTGCGTTACAATGTATATTGAATAAAAGTTATGCATTCCCTTGAGATTCAGAGTGAGCACGCGAGAGAAAGCGAGATTCGAAAACTTCTTTTTATTTTGTTGAAACTCATTGTAAACTCATTGTCACAAAAAAAATTAGGCCGATATGAAAACAAGGTCCCATTGGTCCAATTTTTTTTAAAAAAATGTTGACTGGAGCATATTGGCAGTTAAATACTTATTATTAAAATGGTTACTTTAAGCCAACATGTGATTCTTATTGTCTGATAAAATTGCGTGCATAAAAACACCATCACATGTAGATGTATAGATAAAGAAATAAAGGATTAGTTATAGAATCAGTGAAAACCAGTGCAGTGACGGCGGGGGGCGGGAGAGGCTAACTAGATAGCTATTTTATCCTAGTTTTGATTCACTAAACACTCTAGAGTTTGAGAATAAATCTCCAGTTATTATATATGTGTAAAACGTGAGCACTGTGTAATAAGTAATTCTCTATTAGTTCGTTTATTCGATAGATCACATAGTGAAACAGTATTACTCACTGGATGACGTTTCGAAAGCTATTTATTTATTGTTCATAATCATTTCATCAATTATAATCACACTACTTCCAAACTTGAGTTGTATGATTTACTTTCCTCTCCTATTTGTCGTCGTAGGGTTGGTAGTAGGATCATCCAGATATCTGGGTGGACAGGTGTTGAATCATTCCTGTTACACGTGTTATTTTGCAGTTGATTCGATAAACAAAGCTTCTGTTATTAATCTCTCTCACCACCAGTGACGTTAAATTTTAAAACTGTCATCGTATCCCATCCTATTGTGAGGTTGTGTCTAACTGCATGTAGTACTATAGCTGAACTATTCTCAAGATTTCTTATCTCATTTCATCGGTTGACCCAAGTAAGAGAGGAAATTCAGAGAATAGTTCAGCTATACTACTAACAACGAGCAATTACACACAACCTCACATTAGGATGGGATAGGATGACAGTTTTAAAATCTAATCTAATGTCACAGGTGGGGAAGAGATTGATACAGAAGCTTTCTTTTGTCGAATCAACTGCAAACCAACACGTGTAATAGGAATGATTCAACACCTGTCCACCCAGATATGACGATAAGTAGGAGAGGACAAAAAGAACTATAAAGCTCAACTTTTGAAGTCGTGTGATTGTAATTGATGATATGATTCTGAAGAATAAATAAATAGCTTTCGAAACGTCATCCAATAAATAATAATACTGTTTCACTGTATGATACATCTGATAAACAAACTAATATGGAATTAAATCTCTAGTTCTTTAGTGGCTACCTGATGGATGTCCAAAAGTAGATGTCTTATGGGAATGACTCCATTTAATAGTATTGGCTTTTGGTAAAGGTATATCGTCAATTTACGTGAGTTAGAATTCATGGTCTGTCCTTGTAACCTGTAGGTTCTACTTGCGATATATAGTGGGATCATGGAAATCCGCCTCTGAAGACTTCCAAGCTCCAGTGGAACAATTATCCACTGCAGAAGAGTCTTCAATAGTTAGCTCCCTAACTGTTCTCTGTTCTTGAAGAGATTCATATTCATTGACAAGCTAGTCAAAAACCTTACTTTCACTTACAGATAAATAAGAGTGGAGTACTGCATTGTATACATGTATGTATGTATGTATCTTTTTTTCCTCTTCAGTGATGTCAGCGTTGAACTACCGTTTACACTAACTCATCCAAAACCTGATCCAGAAACTGATTCAGGTCTGTCTAAAATTACTGATGTCGATGAAAATGTAACGCTTACCTCGCCATCATTATCATCTGAATCAAATAATCCATCGAAGAGTGGGACAAATGAAATGAAGCAGTCTCATCTACAGTCAAGTAAACAAGCTACATCTAGTCAAAATGTAAATATTATTGATGATTTAATTAAATTAGACGATGGAACAAATGAAAAGTAAGTTTTTTTTCACAACTCTTATCATTATTATTAATATTATTATTTCTTTTTATTTGCATCAATTGTTTCTTAAAGTTATTTTGAGAGATGGTCCTCTAGTCAATTTGTGTTTGAAACTATGTATCCAAATCTCAGAGAGAACATACCATCATTATTCATTCACTAAAGAGGCTGATGATTATCTTGCTGACTAGTTTCAAAAAAAAGGACGGAACAAGCATCTCCGAAGTCGTGACCAGTAGACTGCAGCAGGTCGAGTGTGAGGACAAATACTTGCCGAAGACATTGGCTAGGGGTTGCACTATGTCATGAATTGGCAGAATTTAGAATTCATGGGCCATTGGATCGTTTTCCAGTGGCTTAATGGTTAACGAGCTCGCCTTTTAACTAGAAAGTCCTGGGTTCGAACCCCGCGGAGTGGGGGCGTACCACTGAAGAGTTAGAAACCAGGACGAAACTGTTGTACAGTACTCCCAGGTTTTCCAATCGTTCTCTAACCAATGTCAGCTCATGATGAAATCCTGTAACCAATCAACTAAATCACTACAAACTAACACTTAAATTTCCGATTTCTTACTACTAGCTACCACTAACAAAGTCTGCTCCACCTACCAAAGTTAAAGCATTCAGGCACATCATAGACCTTTACAAAAAAGGTTGGCTCGTTGCCAACTCCGTGGGTAGAGAAAATGGTTACTGACTGGCAAATAATATTAAAATTTGTTATTTCGCATATTTAATTACTTAGTTAGTTCAAATAATTTTCGAGTATTAGTTTTGTGGGGGATTCTGGCTTGATTGTTTGAAGGATTTCATTGTGAGCTGACATCAGTTAGAGAAGCATTGAAAAACAGCCTGTGAGTACTGGACAGCCAGATCTTTCGTCAGTCCAGTTTCGAACTCCTCACTAACACGAACTCACCACAAGGGGTCGAATTCAGGACCTTCCGGTTTAGAAGGCGAGCTAGGTTTTAGACCATTAAGCCACTGGGACCAGACTAATCCAATGGCCGACCCATGAATTTTTACTTTCACGGTGTCTTTTTTCGATGAGTTACTGCCTCACCTTCATTCTGCTGCACCCTATTGGTCACGGCTTCCAACTAGAACCCCAGGTTAAATGCTTAAATAGAGCCAGTCGCTAGTGGACATGAAATTAATTTTCAATTTTTAGCTTTGTAACCAGAAGGTTCTGAGTTCGAACCCTATTAGGGAGTGCGTACCGATGAAGAGTCCCAAACTAGACTGACGAAACAATTGTCCATTACTCCTTGAAGGTTTTACAATGGTTGCCCAACTTATATCAGCTAATGATGCAGCCCTCCAACTAGTTTAACTAACTTCAGAATTGATTTAGAATAAGAACTATGACTGAGAACAGTTGTGGTTTCATTAATTTAAATCTTCAGACAGATAAAAGATGATTCACTAATAATATCACGAAGTGTACATCATAGAAGTGATAAATTAACAAAATTACATATCTGAATACAAATATGAAAGAGGTTTAGATTCAAAATTTCTCGGCAGGATATCATGGACCTAGGTTTTGTGTTTCCTAGCATTTGCTAGCAAGGTGCACCAAAAGCTTGGAGGAATTCATGTCTCCTTTGGGAATGCAACTGAACCTCTTAAAGCCCCCTGACTTCAGAAGGGACGTATCAGCTGCGGTCAACCTTGAACCACACACCATCTTTTTCCTATACCTCGATGATTGATCTAGAGAGGGTAGTATGTCTTTTATCGGAACGTCTACAGCATTCGTGGCATCCTTCTTATATTCAAGTCCAAATGCGTCAAGCAGGGTATGGGGTAAACTAAATTGTTTTGTCGTAAAATATCCACAGGACTGATCCTTTAACCAACGAAGCTTGTTTCTAATTGAATTTGTGGGTTTGAATGCCAGCCACTTTTATTCCTTTCCTCCTGGTTAAGAATTCTGTGTAAGGTTTCCGAGGTTCCTTCCTTGTATGGAGTTACTACTGATGATTTAGATTCCTTAGTGTTGGTGTTGTCATTATCTTGCGCATGTGTGACATGCATGTAGCCATTAATATATAGGTCAAAGTAGTAGAACTAGGGCAGCCAGAGTAACCGAGCACAGAAACCTAGCAGTGAAATCTAGATTGGTTGACCTGAATAAGATAAGAAATCTGGAGAATAGTTCAGCTATAGCATTCACCACTTGCAATTACACACAATCATACAATAGGCTGGATGGGATAAGATGACAGTTTTAAAATGTTATCTAATATCACAGGGTGGAGGGAGAGATTAATAACAGAAGCTTTGTTCGTCGAATCAACTGAGAGTGAATACGTGTAATAGGAATGATTCAACACTTGTCCACGCAGATATCGGGAAAATCCTACTACCCCAACGACGACAAATAGGAGAAGACAAATAAAACTATAAGACTCAAGTTTCCAAGTCGTGTGATTATAACTGATGAAATGATTATGAACAATAAATAAATGGCTTTCGAAACGTCATCCAGTAAATAATAATACTGTTCCCCACTGTGTGAGACATTAAATAAACAAACTAATAAGGAATTACTAACTATCACAGTGCTCGAGTTTTACGCACAAATTAATACGCTTATTATTTTCTTATCTAAAGATTAAGTACATACATAAAAATGAGAACCCTGGTGGGTGCATACCGCTGAGAAATTCCAAGGTAGGCTGAAAAAAACAGCTGTCCAGTACTCCCAGCTGGTTTTCCAATAGTTCTCTAACCTATATGAGCTGTAACCAACCAGTCAAACAAAAATCCCCTAAAAACCAATACATAAAAAATGAGAAATATATTATTATTTCCTTTACTTTCTAGAGGAACATAGGGCTTCAGCTGCACGTCTCCATTGCGTTCGGTTCTCTGCTAAAGTTTTCACCTCGCTCCACGTCTTCCCACATGCTTTCATCTTCTCTTCCTCAAGTCATCCTTGAACGACCAACTCGCCGCTTCCTATTCGGTTTCCACTTGAGGGCTTGTCTAGTGATGTCACTTGATGGTTTCCTCAAAGTATGGCCAGCCAGTCCACCCCCGTTTCTTCCTGCTTTTTTGTTTCGCACTCGATTCCTGGTTGGTTCGCTCCCAGAGATCCTTGTTGGTGATCTTTTCTGGCTGGCCATTTGATCTTGAGTAGTATTGAGCGAAGACAGCTGTTAATGAAAGTCTGACGTTTGTTTGAGGTTATCTGTATGATGCGCCAATGACTGACTTCACATTGGAGTTGAAAATCCGGATCTTATTTTTGATGCTGAGTGCTGTTGACCTCTACACAGACTAGAGAGAAATGAAAGCTTGTCTTGCTTTTCCGATTCTTGCTTTGATATCCTCGTCAGTTCTGTCCACCTGTAATCCAAACAATGCTTCCTAGGTAGGTAAAGGAGGTTGTTTCTTTCAGGTTCCTCCCATTTATACTGGCTGATTGTTGTCTGTTGTTGTTGCTTTTGTTGTTTCTGTTGGCCAGGAATCTTCATCCCCACTGTCTTATCTATGTTTGCGTGAAGCTAACTATTATCTTAGGTGCTTCTTCTGCCAGCTTGTTGCCTTTCAATGGCATATCTTCCAGTTTGTGGGAAATCAGACATATATGTATGTTATCGGCGAAGTTGAGATCCTCCAAGTTTTTCGTGAGGGTCCATTTTATGCCTGTTTCCTCGCTGCTCGTTGTCTGTCGCATTGTCGAATCTACGGTAGTCAGGAAAATCATTGGAGATAGTAGACATCCAGCCTTGTCTTACTCCCGTCTTCACTTCTTCGAAGGATATATATATGAATGTGAGAATTTGTGAGAGCTTAACTTTTAAATAAGATAAGAAAATACGACAAATCAACTATCGTCCAGAGAAGTAAAATGTATCATCAACACAAAATACAGAGGACATAAGTTTTGTGAATAATAATAATATGATAAGATAAAAACCATGGCAACAAAAGAGAAGAGATAAATGTTGTTTTTTTTTCTTTAGCGCAAGAGTTTATCTTTTGCTGTTGGCATATTACCAAATTTTCTGTCAGTTAAAGTGTTAATGCATAAGAGAAATAAATTTTCGCTTATATTTTGCACGTTTTACGGTGACCTACGTTTCATAAGTATACTTACAGACACAACAACCTTTTTTTGTTGCTTTGTATTATCCACTGAGTGTATTTACTGAATTTGAATGCCTCTCACGTATTGTTTTCATTCGTGAGAAATTTTCACTGCGAGTGTCTTTCATATCTGTATTCAGATATTTAATTTTTTTTGATTTCTCACGTTGTTCTGATCAAATAACAACTCTACACATCATCATCGAACAAAGCATAGAATGGCAATCAAACCTCTACACCTCAACTTTATAGACTTTGAGAAGGCCTTCGAAAGACAGCGTTGACCAGGAAGTAATTTGGAAACTACTCGAGTACAACGAAGTGCAGCGCCCAAATATTCATCAAACTTATTCAACAGCTGTACGACAACGGCATATGTCAAGTGATCCATAAAGGAAAACTCAGTGAGGCGTTTGGAGTAAACACAGGAGTCAGACAAGGGTTCTTATTATCACCAATGACATTCCTAATTGTGGTGTACTGACTGGATTATGCGTCAGACAGTGGGAAACGAGGAGACAGGGATATCCTGCAGCGACCGACATGAAGAACCTAGAAGACCTGGATTTTGCGCGTGGATGATTTATGTTTGATGTCACACAAAATCGAAGACTTAAGAGCGAAAACCGACAAACAAGTCGAAGAAGCAGCCGGAGAAGACAGGACTCCAGGTGAAGATAGACAAGACGGAGGTTATGAAAAATAACCAACCAACCACAACAACAGCAACAACATCCAACGCCAATCACCATCAACGGGAGGGATTTGAAAGAGTTTACTTCATTCACTTATCTAGGAAGCATTGTCTCAACTACAGGAAGTCGGAACGGACGAGGATGTCAAATCGAGGGAGAATCGGGAAGGCGAGGAGAAACACATTCATCAACCTGAAA